CACAACAACAAAATGTGGCAGCAGGCAGCTGACAACCGAGTCACGACTTCGCCGGAGCAATCTGCTTCCATGGCAAGTGACATAAACATATCGCATGCATGGGGTGTGAACGCGTGAACGTGTAATGGGGTACACAAGCAGGGTTCAGTTCATGGGCCCGGTGCCATTGTTTTCTGCTGACCTCGGCAACATCGTCCATGCTCCGCACGTCAGACAATGGTTGTTCAACGAATGCTATCATCCCTAAGACCCCGTTCACATGTAGCGACATACCTTTGCAGCGGCCGGGATAGCGCGACTTTCGGGGCGACGTTCCAGCGACGGTAGCGCGACCTTCTCCGTCGGGCTCCATAGTAAAAAGCAAAATCTGCCGAAAAAAGGGTCCGGTAGAAGCGACTTGCGACCGCGACGAGCGACGCCCGACATGGAGTTAAGACAGCTCCATTGAATAGCATTGGCCGGCGACTTCTCACGATATCGCGCGGCAAAAATGCGCGATATTGCGGTGGAAATCGCGCGATAAGTCGCTACATGTGAACGGGGCCTAAACAGGAACAAACAATTATGTCGGGATCCGCCCAGCTGCGTGTGTGACAGCTTATTCTGCCTATCTAGAGGCAGGGCCAGCTGTACCCACCCCCTTCCCCCGTCCGTTCCGCCAGTCAGCGCTAGTATCGGAGCGGGGAGGGGGGCAGAGAGCCGTGACAGGATCAAGAGGCGAGCGAACGCCGGTATGTGTTCGCTCACCTCCCGATCTACTGAGCCGACCTGTGACAGTCTCATTGTCACAGGTCGGCTAGAACTATGAGGTGAGTGACAAGCCCCTCCCCCCCCCTCATAGTTCTCCTTTAAGCCACCTGGCATCATCCAGCACCTCCCTACAGAGCGGAGTAGATGCGCCCAGGCTGAATCTGATGAGCTGTCCTCAGGGCTGGTGCTAGACTATTTTGCGCACTAGGCAAGACAAGCTACTTGCACCCGCCCCAACACCCCCCCAGCGGCGCAGCCCCCAATCAGGAAGCCGGGGGTCTATTTTCATTTGAAAATAGCCAATAGCAGACTGGCTATTGAAACACCAGCAACTGAGCACAGGAGCGGAGCTGAGAGAGAATGCTGTCTCTTAGTATAGCTCCTCTGCTCAGTGGGTGGGCCTGCCAGCCTGCTATTGGCTTTTGCACTTGGAAACGGGGAGGGGGGTGAGTGGTCGAGGCTGCGCCCTAGGCGGCTGCCTAGTTTGCCTAGCCCTGGCTGTCCTTATTACATGTCTTTTAGTAGGAAATTAACCCCTTCGTCACTAACATCGGCGGAATCATAATGGGCTGGTCTACCGCTGCTAAGTGATTGCAGACCTCCGGTGTCACCGATCCCCCCGGGAGGAGGCGGATTGCTATCATTAGATTTTGGTAGACGGTACTCAATAAGAACTCGTCATCGGCACGCGTTGTGACTAATGTGCAGATACGGCACGGTGGAATTAAGCAAGCGCTGTTGCTTTAACAGACAAATCTCTAACCGAATCATATAAAAACTCCGGATCGCGGATCAATTTAGCGGGAAAAAAAGAAAAGCAATTTGTCCCTCCCGCGTTCCCGCCGCCATGAAAAGAGCCTTCGCTCACTTTGCGACCATTTGCCGGGATCACGCGTCACGCACTGCTGCCCGTCATGAGAAACATCAGCGCGGAGTTTTGGTGGTAATAACGCAGTTTTTCTTTTATTCCGCCGGAACCTGCTGGGCCCTCAAATCAAAAAAGGGGGAAAGATTTAACAAGACAATTTTCTGGGGCTTGAAAAGGCGGAATGGAAGCGAGGGAGCGTCTGCAGAGAAATGAGGACTTTAATGTTCCCCCGAGACGCGGCAATCAATGTCAGCACAATGCCTTCTCTGTCTGACTCCCTCGCTTTACCATCGTGCGTGACAGCGATTTGGGAGCAGGAGAGGAACAGAGAAGAGAACGTCGTCTCTGAGTCAGGCCGGAAGGGGAAGTAGAACTGACACACGGCTTTTCTCCTCCAGTCTGGCGGATTGCTGTCGCTGGGCTTTAGGCCTCATTCACACTGCCGCACGTATGCGCGTATTGTACCATATGCAACCTATGCAAGTAAATGGCTCCATACACACAGCCGCGTATAGAGCCGTATATTTGCGTAGCGTATATATGCGCAAAAACAGAACGGAACAGAGATGCGTCCGGGCAGCGCATTGCTGCGTATTTACACGCATATACGCGTCTATACGCACGTACATGCGTACAGCACATTAAAAATGCCATTACGAGTGATGCATTCTGGGATTGCATATAGTGCGCGTATATATACGCTGTGGCAGTGCATGGCAATGCCACTGTGTGATCTCCATTCCTGTGTCCAGAATCTGAGTGGCCGGCGCATGCTGATGGCACAGGTGTGCACAGCCTTTAAATTAAAAGGTGTTGGGAAGGGTTCAAGACTCCACCTGGGAGACAGGAACGCCCCACCCAGGAGTCAGAGTGGAGTCCAGTGCAGAAGGGTGCTGTGGATTGGGAAGAACCCCCAGTGTGCAGGTTAGCACATGACTGGGGCTGTCTGGAGGAACAGACAGTGGGCTGAGGCCGGAGCAGCGGTGCTGCAAATGCAAAGCCAGGAGGCTGGAAGGGCAGGTGCTGCCATGAGATGCTAAAGAACCCCTGCGAGGGTAATTGTCCTGTTTTGTGAACTTTCATTTAATAAAAGTGGCCAAGGAAGCCCTTGAATATAGATTGCAGCGAGTGGATGCGTCCTTAATGCGCTACCATTGGAAGCTAAATCTCACAACGCATTGACGCGTATATATACGCAATATACCGTTTTGCTTGCGTTGTGTGTGAATGAGGCCTTATGTATGTTCTTATTCGTTGCTGTTTATATTTTGTGTATTTACAACCATATCCAGGTCTGTTGCATCAAGCCTGCTCCTGTGGAGGACTCCGACAGCTCTAAGACCCAATCACTAAAATCTCATAGAGGCTTCAACACATTACAATATTAAAGGAGAACTATGAGGGGGGGAGTGAAAATCACTCAGCCTCATAGTTGGAGCCGACGTGTGACAATGAGACTGTCACATGTCGGCAGAATAGATCGGGAAGTGAGGGAACACATACCGGCATTCGCTCACTTCTCGATCTATCCGTGCAGAGAGAGGTGACTGTCACTCCCGGGATGGACTACAATCCCAATACAAATCAGTAAACTAAACCTGAGATTGTCGTCCATCCCGGGGGGAGGAGCTTGGAGCGGTGACTACTTTACAACTCACACGGGGACCATGGGGAGCAGACGTAGCCCCCCCTCCAGAAGGAAGGACAGTGTCGGAGATGATTGGAGGATCTCCAGCCGAGTGATACACAAATAAGATACATTGTTGGTCAGAGTTCAGGGACTTGGAGGGATTTTTAAGATTTAAAGGAGAACTATGAGGGGAGTGATTGTCACCCAGCCTCATAGTTCGGTGCGACAATGAGACTGTCACAGGTCGGCTCTATAGATCGGGAAGTGAGCGAACACATACCGGCGTTCGCTCACTTCTCGATCATGTCCCGGCAGAGAGAGGTGACTGTCACTCACGGCTCCCTGCAGGGATTCCCCCCTCTCCGATCCTCCAGCGCTGACTGGCGGAATGGACGGGGGAGGGGGCGGGTACAGCTGGCTCTGCCTTTAGATAGCTGTCACTCACGCAGCTGGGCGGATCGCAACAGTAATGTCGGGATCCGTCCCGTCTGCGGCGGTCTCAGTATACCGCGAGCAGTAGCTCCCTATATACTGAGCTTCTCCTTTAACTAAATCTCCTTTAAAAGTTCTCCTTTAACCAAAGTTATTTCCAATCTTTGCAAACCTGCAGCCTTCATTCAAATAATCCCTGATGATCCTGCCATGAAGGTCCTTGTTCAGTCCTGTTATAGGGTGACTACGCTGTGATCCCCGTCTCCCAATTGTACACTTGTGTTGTCACACTGTCACATGGGTTTCAGGTGGAGACTACAAGTATCTGTTTCAGCGCACATTACACAGACACGGGCCACTGTTGTCACCATCCGGAAAACCCGCCCTGAGAAATGCCGTGCAGCCATCGCTGGAGTCATGTAGACAGGAAGTGGCTGCCGGAGATCAGCAGCACTCAGATGTAAGATTTCCTTTGATCTTTCCTCCTAGCTGAGATCCTTCATACCCCTAAATCATTAACTACAATGCTTCTAGTCTAGTTGCCCGACATCCTATTTGCAAACTGATGCCAGCGGCGTCACAAGGGGGATGCGGGGAGTGCGGCCCGCACCCGGGTGCCCCCATTGCAGGGGTGGCACCAAAATGACTGACAGTCATTTTGGTGTCACTCCTTATGAAATGTCGGGCACTCGGTCATGGACCGAGAGCCCGACAGTGTCAGGAGAGAGGAGGGGACCCGGCGGCATACCTCATCCCGCCAGGTGACTGTCCCCTCCTCTCTCTGCCGGCGTCCATCACCAAGATGGCTGCCGGCATTGGTCAATAAGACGACCGCGCATGCGTGATGACGTCATCGCACACGTACGCGGCAACGCCACGAGCAAGTGCAATGACATCACGACAGGGTGTCACCTGGTCTCCGCTCCGGGTGACAACCAGCCTCGGGACACCCCTGACTGATGCCCAAAGCTTGTTACTCAAGAAGCTGCAAATTGTTTATATATATACACTGTATATTTATGTTTTTTCTCTTAGATATAATAAGTAAATCATTTGTATTCCAAGTGCAATCCACAAAGTTTACACCGTTCAAGTCATTGGTAAGACCGAGGGTTCTACAGATTTCCCCGCATCTCATCGTGTTTTCAGAAGCGGGATATTTATTGATACATCCGGTAGGGACGGGCAGAAGGATTCAGGTCCTGAAGAGAAACATTTGGTAGCTGTGTAATAATATTGTGGCAATTGTATCATTTTCTGCACCACGATATAAAAACATGCAGCCAGCACCTTGACACATACCCCCATGATGTTTTCCAGGACCCCAAGACCTTCAAGTCGGAGAAGACGGGCCGGGGACTCCTGAAGGAGGGCTGGAGGGAGAATCAGCAGCCGGTCATGTGTTCATATAAGTTGGTTGCTGTGAAGTTCGAAGTGTGGGGTCTGCAGACCCGCGTGGAGCAGTTTGTGCATAAGGTGGGTGATGACATGCTGCCGGAATGAGTGTCTTTCATCTGCATCAATGTAATGAACATGGACAAACTTTCCTGCAACCAGTAGGAGCTTTTCAGGGACCGAAGAGCATGCACTTTAATTGTCAGCTGGGGCTGGAACTTTAAGGGTCCTGTTCATGTTTTTGCAGTTTAAAGGAGAACTATGAGGGGGGGGGGAGGGGGAGGTGCTTTTCACTCCCCTCATAGTTCTAGCCGACCTGTGACAATGAGACTGTCACAGGTCGGCTCAGTAGATCGGGAGGTGAGCGAACACATACCGGCGTTCGCTCACCTCTCCATCCTGTCACGGCTCTCTGCCGTGACAGGGGAGGGGATGGATTCACTCTCTCCCCGCTCCAATCCTCCAGCGCTGACTGGCGGAACGGACGGGGGAGGGGGCGGGTACAGCTGGCTCTGCCTCTAGATAGGAGGAGCCAGCTGTCACTCACGCAGCTGGGCGGATCCCTTCATCTACGTCGGGATCCGCTCCGGCTGCGGCGTCTCAGTATACCGCGAGCTGTAGCTCCCTATATACTGAGCTTAGGGTGACGGGAGGACGCTAGTTTGTGTCCTCCCGTTACTCTTAAGGAGAACTATGGTGAAAATACTTAACCCCATAGTTCTCCTTTAAGGAATTTGTTCTGAAACCGTGACTTCTGTTAAAACTTGGGATGCACCGGCGCCGTTTTTTTAGTAGCGAGTACGAGTACCAATATTGTTTTCCGGTACTGGCAGCCCCCCAGCTTCCTGATTGGCCGGGAAGCCAGCTCTATGCTCCCTGGTGACGAGGGAGCATGGAGCCGGCTTCCCGGCCAATCAGGAAGCCGGGCCGTGTGTAATGACTCGCCGCCCGGCTTACGGATACCGGAAGTTCCAGTATCAGTATAGGCATCGGGAGCAATTGGGCGAGTACGTGTACTCCCCCAAATACGCGGTCTCGACGCCGATATTTTTAATATCAGTATCAGTGCATTCCTAAATACATTCCAGGGGAATGTGAACAAACGACGTGGCAAATAACCATGTGATAACACTTCATTTTCTTTAGCATGTAGCCACATCCTGAATAGAAAAGCCTGTCACCTACCAGCATGCTGCAGAGAAGGACCCTTGCTCTCTGTGTGGTCTCTCTGCACAAATCTGACGACGTCCCCTCTGGGTCACAGCTAGAAATCTCCAATCAGCCAGCAGCATGAGCTTCACTGATTGCAGAGCTATAGGCACGGCATTGGGACGTAACAGACCCCTACAGGAAGACCACTGCTGACACCCAGAGAACAAGGGTCCTTCTTTACAGCATGCTGGCAGGGGGACAGGCTTTCCTACTCAGGCTGTGGCTGCTTTCTACACATGATGAACAGTAAGACTTTGCACACCATTTGTCACGATGCACCTCACAGGTTTAAACTGAAAGTTCAATGAGGCTTTACCAAAAGAAACGCCACAGCAAACAACAAAGTATGTCAAATGCATTAGAACACTGAAACAAATGCCCTGTATGTATTCCTATGTGAAGTGTGAATGGGCCCAGAGTCTGCCAGTGTGGCACGGGGTATTCGGCCAACACTGCCAGATACAAAAGGACAATACAGGTGAATCTCGAATAATTCGAATATCGTGCAAAAGTCATATATTAGTTTCACCGCATAAGTCGCATTAGTGAAATAAATGAACTTTGCACCATATTCTAATTATTCCAGTTTCACCTGTACATATGATTTAATAACATAAGCAAAGTATTGGAGCTGCTTCCTTCCAGACTGGCCTGGGTTCCCCTCTGCACCTCTTATGGCTTTGTTCTGATCTCCGCAGTCCTGAGTTTTTGGGAGTAAGAAGTCACTAGAGGTCCAGACTCTGATTCTGTTTGTTGCTTCTTATGAATCTTTCCTTAGTAAGATGTGTTTTATTTTTTAGGTGGTGAAAGATATCTTGCTGATTGGGCACCGGCAAGCGTTTGCGTGGGTCGATGAATGGTATGGTAAGTTCGCTCACTCTCTAGGACGAGGGGTTCCTGCGATCTAGAGATAGACATACACTAAGATAGCTCCAGCAAGGGCTGTAGAGAAGTCATATAAATGGGAAGTCTTCCTTCTTTCAGGTTGCCGCGTTTCCTCTTAAACAACACCGGTGTCTTTCAAACATCAAACCAGCTTCTCTTCAACCCCTTCTCTACAAAAGACAAAGTTGGGCTTTTTATTTTATCCTTTGTAGGTTATAGCTCGGGAGATGGGTGCTCAAAGGCTCCGGTATGACAGTCCAGTGAAGACTTGTAGGGATAATGAATGTCTGATGGCTTTGGGCAGCACAAGAGATAATGTCACGGGTGCCGGCACAGGTGTCCCCACACCGTATGCAGGTACCCACACAGGAAGACCAAACACGTATGACCAAACCGGACAAGGCAAGATGTGTTATATACAGTTTATTAGTATCCAGAAAAACCAAATGAAACACCCAAAAGCAAACACGGATAGCTAACGTGACCCCCCAACCAAATAATATAACCCCCGACACCTATAGCATAAAACGCAAGCAATAAAAGCTATCTACAGGTAACAGCAACAGGACGACAAGCAGGAATCAGGACTGCAAACAGGGCTCAGGACTGCAAACGGGGCTCAGGACTGCAAACAGGGCTCAGGACTGCAAACAGGTAACAGGGCTCAGGACTGCAAACAGGTAACAGGGCTCAGGACTGCCATCAGGTAACAGGGCTCAGGACTGCCATCAGGTAACAGGGCTCAGGACTGCCATCAGGTAACAGGGCTCAGGACTGCCATCAGGTAATAGGGCTCAGGACTGCCATTTCCTTCTTTCAGGTTGCCGCGTTTCCTCTTAAACAACACCGGTGTCTTTCAAACATCAAACCAGCTTCTCTTCAACCCCTTCTCTACAAAAGACAAAGTTGGGCTTTTTATTTTATCCTTTGTAGGTTATAGCTCGGGAGATGGGTGCTCAAAGGCTCCGGTATGACAGTCCAGTGAAGACTTGTAGGGATAATGAATGTCTGATGGCTTTGGGCAGCACAAGAGATAATGTCACGGGTGCCGGCACAGGTGTCCCCACACCGTATGCAGGTACCCACACAGGAAGACCAAACACGTATGACCAAACCGGACAAGGCAAGATGTGTTATATACAGTTTATTAGTATCCAGAAAAACCAAATGAAACACCCAAAAGCAAACACGGATAGCTAACGTGACCCCCCAACCAAATAATATAACCCCCGACACCTATAGCATAAAACGCAAGCAATAAAAGCTATCTACAGGTAACAGCAACAGGACGACAAGCAGGAATCAGGACTGCAAACAGGGCTCAGGACTGCAAACGGGGCTCAGGACTGCAAACAGGGCTCAGGACTGCAAACAGGTAACAGGGCTCAGGACTGCAAACAGGTAACAGGGCTCAGGACTGCCATCAGGTAACAGTGCTCAGGACTGCCATCAGGTAACAGGGCTCAGGACTGCCATCAGGTAACAGGGCTCAGGACTGCCATCAGGTAATAGGGCTCAGGACTGCCATCAGGTAACAGGGCTCAGGACTGCCATCAGGTAACAGGGCTCAGAACTGCCATCAGGTAACAGGGCTCAGGACTGCCATCAGGTAACAGGGCTCAGAACTGCCATCAGGTAACAGGGCTCAGGACTGCCATCAGGTAACAGGGCTCAGGACTGCAAACAGGTAACAGGGCTCAGGGCACACAGGAAATAATAACAAGATACTGAGCCATCATCCTGACTGCAGGGAGGGTTTAAATACCCTCCCATGAAGCATCAGGTGATGGCTAAGTGCTGGCAGCTGGGAGACACCCGCAGGTGAGCACCCATTGGTGGTCTGGTACCTAAAAGTTCCTGGCTGCCTGGGGACACCTGCAGGTGAGCACAGGAACTGCAGGGCTTAGCTCCAGATGAGAAGTGGTGACTCTTCTACTGAATCCCTCTGGCCAGAATCCAAGAAGCACCTCACAGGGTCACTGGGAGTGTATTTCCTGAAGCCAGGTAAATACTGCAGAGCCGGCACTCATAACCAGGACCACTTATCCTGCATGAAACTGATTCAGAACCATTCTGGAAATCAGAACACCGTCAGCCTTACAAGCTCACCTAGCCGGGCAGCCATTTGTACGGACATGAAAATTGGAGTCACTCTGCTTGTGGGCTGCTGGAGTCAATTAAAGTGCAAAGTGTTCTTGTTGGGCTGGA